GGTTGAATGGTAATGGGGAGGTGTCAGAATTTGTCAGGAAATCATAGCTCTTGTGCTGCCTTTTTATCTTCCACCTGTGCACCAGATATCCTGTGCACAGGGAAGCAGTTTTTCCCCAAATACTTTCTTTGCAGCACAGATCTTGGCCTCCAGATGTTTTGGAGGCAAAAGAGAGAGCCAGCTCTGCCTCGGGCATCTGTATGGATAGTTTTGGCTCTTCCCTTGATGTAGCAGTATCTTTTTTTTCCATTTCAGGTATTATCTCCAAGAAATACTGCTCAGCAGCTTCAAAACATGAGTGGTAGACAACTGTCCAAGACAGCCAGATTTGTTGTTTGCTTCCGAGTCACTCGTGACTTGTGGGCAGGTATGTCAACAAATATCAGCCCTGCTTTGAAGAAACAAGAGGAGATCTCTTTGTAGGGGCCTGAAGTTCTCCTTGGGGTACCTCAGCAAGGTCCTTGAGGTCAGACAGGGTATTTAAAAATAAACTCTTGAAACTTAAGTATGAGTTGGTCAAGGCAGCTCATCAGAACTCACTTCTTGCACTGGAGGATACCTTCCACTCAGCAGTGTTAATGCTAACAGGCAACTTCATCAGTTTAGGGACTTTGCTAGATGCTCTCTTGAGTGCTGTAGGTCCTAAGTGATGCTAACCTCGTTGCAAAGACAAGCTGAGGCATTGGTCAGTAATATTTGTGTCTTTCAGCTGTGTTTTGGGAACCCCGCTGTGTTCCTTTTGGTCTGTTCCTGGTTTCCTGGTCATGCTCTTGACTCTTGGCCAAGCGTCCGATGTTGAAGTGTGTGGACTTCTGACATTGTAGCCAAGAACTATGTTCAAGGTGGCTCTGACCTTCTTGCGTTTGCAGAGTCAATGTTGCTTGTGCACTTGCAGTGCTGCACAGCCTTCCTCCAAGGCCAGGTTATCTACATTATGGTATATGTCTATGTAGTTGTCTAACTATATGGTATGAATGAGACTAGGCCAGTTGCTCGAGAGATTAAGAACTGGATTCTAATGAAGCTGATAACTACTGGCATGAAGGAACACTGACTTTTGAGAGAATTTCTGCTCCTCTTAGGCTATGCTGTAGGTGAAGTGCTTGTATTTTCATCTGTAATCTGATCAGGTGTCTGCGTTTTAGTTCATATCATACCACAATTGGTCTAGTGCTCTTGGAGACCTGTGGAGAAGGTGCTTGGTCTTAAAGGAAGGCAGTTTTCTTTCTTGAGGATGCTACTACTTCAGGTTATCACCTCAGGTTCTTTAAGGAAGAAAATCTCTCACAATGGGCCTGGAACAAGGTAGTTTTGGGACGGCTATGAAGTGCTTATGTAACCTCTTTACAAGTAAGCTTTCTAAATGGAACCATTAAACTTCTCCTCTCCAATTTAACTGAAAGAGGCGTGACTGATTTCTTCAACAAAGTTCCAGATGGAAACTAGTTTCAAGGCCCGATTCTGAGCTCTGGCCTATTACAATCATTTGAGTATTCCTTCTTTGACAGATTAAGAAAGAACAGGAGATTCCCTATAATTCATTCTCTTAACATTTTATTGGGATCAGAATTAAAAAATTGAGATATCTAATGTCATTTTGCTTATTTTGGCCATCCTGACAATTTGATACTCCTTTTATTTATTTATTTTTCTGTTGGGAAATTTCTTTTAGTATGTAAGTGATAGAACAGTCCCTAAGGAAATACTATTCTCACTGGCACAAGGGCTGCTAGCCACCAGCAGAGGAAGTGGTGTCCCACTAACTTCCAGGATGGCCAGAAAACTGTATCTGTGTTACCTTCTGCAAGGGTCTGCTGAAAGGTGAGGAAGGCAGGAGCATCTTCTCTTACTGTTCCTTTCCCTCTTCTCTACTACCCCTTTATCATTCCTGTGCTTTGTTACCGCTATCCCGCAAAAATGTTTGCTGGACCTTTGCGCAAGGGGTTCCCGTAATTTTTTCCTAATGTCTGAGGAAAAGTAGATGGAAGGTTTTCTTTGTGGTTTTAACTGCTTCTGAACCAACAGGCCCTCCTGCCTTAGGCACTCCTTGTTTATCCCAGGGAAATACAGATGGTAAGTATTGCAGACGTCTGAGACAAGAAGCAGTGGTAAAATGATTGAAAGTGGATAGTGACTTGCCAAACTTCTGTTAATTTTATTTAATGCCAGATGCAGGTCTGGTAGCTTGCCATTATAGTTTGCTGAGGGATTTCTGTGCTCTATATCTGTGTTTGATGCCTCCCCTTTCAGGCAATTCTTGTGGATACCTTGTACTCAGAAGATAAGGAAAATAGATTTGGAAGTCTTTTGCTTTTGAAAGAAATTAATACATGCAGTAACTTTAAACTTGGCAGGAAGAATCTTAGCATCAGCAGGGATTTGTGTTGAATCTTAGGCAAACTTGGTTGAGCGTAAAAGAAATTTGAGACTTCGTTATGCCGAGTTAGGAAAAAAATGCTCCTCCTTTGCTTATTAACTATTCTAACTGTACTGTGCACTTTTCGGGCTCATCAGCCTGTTGGTTTATTGCATGTACAGGGCTTGAGTTTTGCCCAGAACAAAGGCAAGCAAATTGCTTCCCATTAAAACATTTAGGTGCACTTAAGTTGTGTGGCTTTATACCTCAGGTATGTTGAACCAAAAAGGCTCAGCTGTTTGAGTGTCACTTAACAGAGGAGGGGAGGAGGGGACTTTTCTTTCTTTCTTTTCTTTTTTTCTTTCTTTTCTTTTTGGTTTTGTGCTCAGGCAGTTCTGACAGAGCTGGAAGGGAACCTGTATTTATTGGTGCAAGTTCGCAATATCACTTGAGTTAAGTTGACAGGTAGGAATTACCAAGATAGGGTATTACCAGGATGCTCGTGATTTTTGCAGTTTCTTCTCTTGCTCTGCTCTCCTCTGGCTTTAACTCTGAGGCCTTCCTTGCTACAAGGTAAGCAGATGAAAACTGCTGACCTGACAAAAATGCTTCCCTCCCAGGGTAGGTTTTCCTCTGCTTTTGTGGTTCAAATTGGGCATCCTGTGGGCAGAAGGACACAGGAGATGACACTCATCTCATGTTGACACTTGGAACAAAGAAATGGGGTGGGTAGAATGTATGGAAACATACATGAATACTGATATTGTGGATATTGAAGCTGTTTGATTTTTTTTTTTTTATAGAATAAAAATAATTTTTGTGACTTGAGTAATGATCTGAGGAAAATATTACCGAAAGTTTAAAATGTATGCAGTTGAATCCCTTTATGTATAATTTCATCTGAACTGTTCTAAATAATTACATTTGGGTTGTTGTTGTACTAAAAGGGACTCTTATGAGTATAGTCTGTATGTCTAGACCATAAGTAAGCCTAAAAAACAGCAACTGAAGCCTTCTCTGCAGCTGACCCTTTTGGTTTTATAAATGGAGCTGAGACTGACTTGATTAAACTGCTTGCATTCTTGCAGTTTATTAGATTGGAGGGGAAATTTATTTAGATTATGTCTGATTTTTGTTGCAAGAGCGATTTACTTGTAGAGGTGGGATTGGGGCCTCAAAGTCCTGTCAAGTCTGCAGTCAAAACTGCATTCTTATTCCAAGACAAAAATAAGAGTCTTCATAATGTGGATGTCTGAATTTTTTGTTGCAAGAGTGATTTACTTGTAGAGGTGGCATTGGGGCCTCAAAGTCCTGTCAGGTCTGCAGTCAAAACTGCATTCTTGTTCCAAGACACAAAAATAAGAGTCTTCATAATGTGGATGTTGAAAAGACCAAATATTGAAGTATGTGTTAAATGACCATCAATAGGAAGCAGCTGTGCTGTGAGTTACACCCTAAGAGGAGGAATTCTGACCTGAGCACAAGGAGGCCATCAATTCACTTCAGCTTTTTTAGCAGCTTTTCTGTTGATTCTGCGCATTTAACATCTGTTCTCAATGTAGCTTGGTTTGATGAACCTTGTTTTGGAGCAGGAGATGTTTAACCCTCTCTTAAGTGAGAGAAGGAAGTGCTCCGAAAAGCTTGAGAGGCAGAGTCTGGGACAACACATTCCATTAGATTCCTAATAATGGTGGTTTCTATTAAGAAGATGCCAGTCTGGGCTTCCTGAATCTGCGAGACTTTGTTTTCCTTCTCCCTCAGGAATAAGGTTTAGTGATCCTGCTTTTGAATATTTCTAAGCAATTTTAAAAGCACCTGAACATCCTTAACATTCTGGCACACTATGAAGAAAGGGAACCTTGGGTCTGTCTGTAATGACTGAGGTGAAGCCATAAATATCCTGGGGATATGAAACTTCAGGATTCAGTCGCTGCTGATGCTTAATGGGAAGACTATCTCCATGTGAAGAGCTTTCTGGATGTGCTTTTTTCCTTTTAAATGGTGCTAAAATAAAAGCTGCGAGAAATACTCTGTGAGCACCAATGTTAATATTCACTGCAGCTTCATCCATTTCATCTCTACAATTAAGTAGTCACTCAGAGACTACCCTTTAACAACAGTGCCTTTAGATGCAGAGTGAGTAATGTGGAAAAGGAGAAAACATTTGAAAAATAAATGGCCTGTAGCTGAGGTTCTGAACTGGGTTAAACAGATCTGGCTGCTGTTCTCCTTTCTGCTTTTTAAGAGTTATGAGCACAGGGAGGATTGGAATTAAGGTTGAAATGGCAATTTCAGTTCTGGCATTTGTCAGAAATTGGAAATCTGATTTTTAACTCTGCTCTTGTGAATATTTTGGTGCTTAGAGGAATGCATACAAACTCTGTCTTGATTCTTCCTATTTATGTTGAAAACTTGAGAGCTCTTTAACGGTACGTGATTTTGGAAAATACCATGCTCGTTAGCTTGAAAGAGTGAATTGTTCTGGGATTTGCACAAACAATGTTTTGTTTTACAAGTGGAAAAATACATACAGTTGAAATGCTTGTCCTCTGTTTTCAACAATAAACATTCAAACTTATTTCAGGTGGAGAAATTTTGGCTTACTGAAACAAAGATCTAGAACTTACTTGGGATTTTTCTCTTTGCAGATATAATATAAAATGTCTAATGGTTATGAAGATCACATGGCTGAAGATTGCAGGGATGATATTGGTAGAACAAATTTAATTGTGAACTACCTCCCTCAGAACATGACGCAAGATGAATTACGGAGTCTATTTAGCAGTATTGGCGAAGTCGAATCTGCAAAACTTATTCGGGACAAAGTTGCAGGTATAATCTAGTATATAACAACGTTTTTCCTGGTGGTAGACTGCTCAGCTAAACACTCGATTGTATACAATTTAATGCAAAATTATTCAATGTTTGTGTAAGTGTAATCCAATTACTGGTGACAATGCATGCAACTATAGTAATGCTAAGACTGGAAATGGAGTACCGTGAAGATAGGATGCATAGGGTTGTATTCATGACTGTTTTTGTCTGTGCTTGAGAAGTGTGTTAAGTAAATTCCTAAATTTGAACATTTGTATGCATATTTAAGCTAGTCTGAATTTGATCTGACTTATTCTTCCACCAGCTTTTTTTCAATTACTTAAACTCTGAATATTCAAAAAAAATATTTTGATCAGTAAAATGAATGTGAGGCACATGTCTGAGATTGAAGAACCTACGAGTTAAATTCCTGGAGCGATAAGGCCTACAACAAACAGGGCTGTTAATAGCAGCATTAGAAATGAAGAATGAAGTCTTATGGTTTGTGAAACTTAATGTTGCCATGAAAACAAGGGCTGCTAGTGCAGCAGGTTTCATGACCTAAGTGTAAGATTTATTTGTACTGTAAAGCAGCGTTCTAGGCTAATGCAATGTTTGGCTTCTCCTAGGGGAAAAAATAGTCTTGCTGCAGTTCTGCTTTCCTCATGGCATCGATTTGCTTGATCCCACGGAGAGCTCTGACAGCCTAGCAGGAAACTAGAACAACAACAACAACAAAATCTGTTTAGCTCCCTGACCTAGGTTTTGGGGGTTGTCAGGAAGGTGTCATGTTAGCATGTAGAGACAGTAGGACTGAGTGGCCTGGGCAGGAGGGCTGTAACCTCTCCTTTAGTTGGAGGCAAGTTTTTTAGAGCGGTTTAATTCTCAGACCTGCAGCCTTGGAACCACTGTGATGTTTTGGTAAATAAAAGTAGCCTGTCTTTAGAGTTGCCCTTTTTGACTGTATTTGTACAGATAAAGAATGCTATTTGGTAATTCTTTTCTATGCAACAATGACTTTTTTTTTTTAATTGCTTCTCTATTAGTGGGAAATGTAGAGCAGAGAATGTCTTCTGCCTGGATTAGAAATTTTAACTACTTACTGAACTGACCTCGCCTCTGTGGAGAGTGATCTCATAGCTTTCAAAATAGCTCTTGGATCGAAATTCTTCCTGGTGCAAAATATTTCACTTACAATAAAGATATTTACACAGGTTTTGTTTTGAGTACAGCAAGACTACTGAACAATTTTTTCATGATTGTCCTCATAAAATTCAGAGGAGGTATTTGAAAATGTTAGCTTCTGTATCCTTTACTATGGTGTTTTTAACAGTGGGGTTTGGCACACACATCTCTCATAAAAGTTGCTATTTGCATAACATGGATTTGTCTCAGGTGGGCAGCCTATAGCCTTTTCCTCCCGTGCCAGTCCTGGGTTGCTGCATTTCCACGCTGGCAGAGCTCCTCTTTGGGAATTTGATGCAGAACTGCTTGGATTTTTATTGGTGTCGGCATGTTTACGCATCCCCAGCTATACAGTAGCTCCACTGTCCTAAAGCAAGTTTCACACAATTCATGTCTGAGCACTTCCTATCTTTTCTTCCCCTTTGAAATTAAGTGCCCGCTTAGAATTTTGCCTTTTCAGCAGATCCATCTTTGGTATTTCTATGTGGTGCTCTGTGACACATTCGTGCACGTTTAAGCTCTTAGGTTATCATTCACGGCACGTTTTGCACGTGCACGCACACAAAAAAACCTTTCCTCAAGACACCCCATTCTCCCCCCAAGTGTCACTTGGGGGAGACTTACTCCATCTTTGTGTTATTTACTTGTTTGTCTATCTCTATTTTTTTTTCTCTCTCTTTTTTTTAATCTCAATACACTGCATCAGTTAGTTTAGAATTTCTTTTCTGAACTGGAAAACAACTACTAAAATATCTGTGTATCAAGGTACTCTAACATAACAGTAGCTTGTGAGTAGGCAGTTTAGGTTTTATTCAAGGGATAGCATGGGGAAGGTCTGATTTAGCTGCTTTTAGAAGGGCAACTAGTCTATAATAGAGAAGAAAATAAGCACTAACTCTGTTCTCATACCAGCCTCTTCAGTGAAACTGGAGTTGTCAGTCAGTAGCAGGAGAGAAATAAAAAATGATTTACTGACTGAAGCAGTATGTCTAAGGAAACAGAGAAGGGAAGCAAGGGCACAGGGAGAAAACCAAGTGATGCCCAGAAAGAAAATGAGAGCCCTCTTTCATGAAAAGGCTTTTTATCATGGAAACAAAACTAGATTCTTTCTGTCGAGGGAGTATAATAGTTTGTTTAAAACTACATTTCATGATCATTTTGTTAATTATTTACCAGATAAAAGTCTACTTGTTTTTTTTTTCTCTTGAGTAGATTTGCATTTATATGTAAGCAAACTTTTTTTTCCAAGCTTGTATTTCCTACTTAATTGCTATTCACTGAAAACTGCAGAATTAACAGTATTGCTTTTTTTTTGTCCTCTATAGGTTTTTTGATCTAACATCATGATAAAACAACTGATGTGTCTCCAACTTACTGCTTTTAGATAAGCATTTGATGTTATTCATAATATTTCATAATATCTAATCAGCACTTTGTGGAATTTGGACCAGAAAATGATTTATATTGTGTGCACACACAGCGTGTGGTTTCTCGTTGATTTCTTTTTAATTGCACTTTCTATTTTGTTAGTTGATGTGATCTATAGACCTTAAAGGTGAAGCTGCAGAAACTCATGTCTTAAGATCTTAGGATTAATGCATTTCTCTTTGCTAAATTCCGCTCGGCCACGAGTAAAGGTCTGTGCACTGCTAGTAGAGATGTTTATAACCGCCCAGCTCTAAGGACGCTGTTTGCTCCTCATACAGGACACGAATGGGAGTTGGCTCCATGAAGAGCTCCAGCAGACTGCAAAAATTAAATGAGACTGTTTATGCAGGGAGGGTGTTAGGAAAGATACAGTGACAGTGTTTGGATTTAGATGAGTTATTGACCTATTATGTTTTCACAACGTGGCAGATAATTCCCTAGCGCCTGTGTTTCTGCTGTTGCAGTTGTTCTGCAGTTGATCTGTGCCAGGTATGCTATTAATAATACCAATTTGAGGAATATAGGTTAGTTGGAGCTTCCTTCTATCCTTGGTTGCATTTAATCTAGCAGGTCTCGACTCCCTCAGACTGGTGATTTTGTTTGTTTATTTATTCAGCGGAGGGAGTTATCTTCAGCATCTGGTACAATTATTTCCTTTAGATTATCTGATACTTGATGCTAGGAAGTCAGCGTTGACTTTTTCAGGGTATTTGATTTTCTAAAATACAGGTAGCAATACAGGAGAGAATCCTTTTCTGAATATATTAGCCATGTCTTCTAATGTCCTGAAGCCTAATAATGGAGCTTAATAACTACTTAACAATAGTGTCTTGTTCAAGTCAAACAGTATGTTCTCCTATACAAACATACAGTTTTCTTCTGAATATCCCATGGATCTGACTGCGAGACAAGGAGAAAGTCTGAAAAAAAGGAGCAGCTTTTATTGGGTGGGACTTGCTTTACTGCAGGCAGACAGTCTGAAAAGATTTGGGATATTTTTAGGTCTACAGAGAGGAGAGCCTGTAATTATTAGGAAGTTGCCACCTGAAATGATCTTAGTATGCAGAGTTATAATTGATACTAGCGTATGGGGAGGGTGGAGATGGGAGCAGAACAAATAAATGTGTATCCTTTGCCTTGCATGACTTAGCTATTACAAAAATAATTTTAGATTAATAATAACACAAATCTAAGGGTAAACTTGGAAGATGTATATCAATAGCTGAATATGGCTGCTGAGAAGCAGAGCTTTGCATAGGGTCTCGTTGTATACACTGAAGATGATTTTCCTCTCCTCAATTTCATCCTATATTTCAGACTCGTTACTCATTAGTCAGATGTCTGTATGAGGACTGAAGGCTTTTTTTCCCTCTGGCTCCCAGAAGTGAAATGATGGAATAGTCACATAGAAGTGGTTAGCCTGGCAGTGGTTCACTGGCCAATGTTTTTTTATTATTATTTATTTATTTTTTATTTTTTTTCTGCTCTTAATGTCTTTTGCCTGTTACATATCGTTTTATTTTGAAGGTGATAAATTTATTTTTTGTTTGGATTAATTTAAAAAATGTCCTTCCTTGTAGGACACAGCTTAGGCTATGGCTTTGTAAACTATGTGACTGCAAAAGATGCTGAAAGAGCAATAAACACACTGAATGGTCTCAGACTCCAGTCAAAAACCATCAAGGTAGGATATACAGATTCTTCCATCTTCTCTGAAAATGGCATTATAATAAACCTGTAATGTATTTTGCATGCTAATTCATTCTGGTGGAAAGCTTTTTGCTGTTCACGTAGGAGAAAAGCGAAATGTGAAAGACAGTGAAATGAACCATTAAGGTACTCAGGGTTTGTAACAGTTTTGTATTCAGTTTTTAGGGTGGTAGGTGAGATTATTCCATATTGTTGACCAGCTTTGGAACTCTTGTTAGTAATATGCATGCACTGTCTTTCCATGATTTAAAGCACAGAAATTGTCAAGGATCCAAGAAGCACATACCAGGGAGCACTGTGTGTCCTGAAGATCACATAATTAAATGTGATCACAAGTTAAGATAGAAAATTGCACTCTGGCTTGTAAATTCTCTTTAATGGACTTTTAAATATTTAAAATATACAAGCTGGTGCAACTTGTGGTCACTAATGGGCCTGGTATCGAATTCAGGACTTTAGACAGGTGGTTTTCGTCATATTTCTTTGATGGTAAGTTTGTTGGAAACACTGGTATTGTCTATTGCTGTCTCTTTATAGTGATACCCCTATCTAACTATCTGCTAAGCCCAGAATGAATGAAATTATATAGATATGTTTACCAGAACAGGAAATGAGAATTTCCTGTGTCATCTACCCCTTCCCATCTCCTGAACGCTAATAGGAGAATTATCTGTATTATTAGCAGGAGGTGAATGTGAGTCTTTTGTGACCAAATACATTATTTTTTAATAGGTTTCCTATGCTCGTCCGAGTTCTGAAGTTATCAAAGATGCTAACTTATACATTAGTGGACTGCCAAGGTCAATGACACAGAAAGATGTTGAAGATATGTTCTCCCGTTTTGGGCGCATCATCAACTCGCGTGTGCTTGTGGATCAAACTACAGGTAAGTGCATAGAAACATGCACGTGCTATAGTACAGACTTGGTTTTATTTCATAACCTGGTAATGTCCTAAATTAATTAAAGGCTTCTGCAAACTAATTATGACACCTGATATTAACCACTGAAATATTAATGCAATATTTTTATTTTTAAGAGCCTCCTTAATCTGAAGTTTGTCAGGATAGTGACTAAGTGCTTGTCTCTGTGAAATCAGTTTGGAGGACTTAAGTTACCTTTACTATGAACAAATACAACCACTACAGTCACACAATGTCTTGATTTTTTTGTTTTGTTTTGAATATTGGAAGAGTCTCGCAATGCTTTTTGGTTACTGCTAACCAAAAGAATGAAATTTGTACTCTGCAAGTGTATTTTTTTTTTTTTTTTAAACTGTGAGATGGTGGGAGAAGGGAAAAGTTTCTTAGTTAAGGACTCTGCTCAGGAGGGACCGAAGTTAATGATTTCATTTGTTATGTTCATTCTGACTCAGTGTTGCAATGCGTTTTCAGAGATTTAATTTCTTATCTCAAATGTAACTGAATACTATGGCTCATTCTGCAACCTGAGATGTTCTCCACATTCCCAAAGCCGGCAAGTCATGTATGGATTTGGAAAGGACTTTTATAAATACTTTTCCATGGTTAGCATGTGTTATATTAGAACAGATGATCATCCAGTTCTAAACATTTCACGCTACTCATACACAGTAGCATATACATTTATGTGTAGCATGCAGACAGCTGCCTTCATGCTTTTTACCCTGATGCAGAGCAGGCCATCAGCAACTCTTAGTGGGATTTATCTGACCTAAATATTAAGGCCCACAACATTAAGGTTCTATCTCAGAGCTAGTCCCCTAGTGCAGGGATCTACTTGAGTGTTTTGGTTTGGTCAGATGGATTGGACTGTAAATGTCACTGCATGTAAAAGGAATCTGAGGTAACTAGACTGAATCTACATAGCAACATCTCACAGAGCCTAAAGCTGAGCGAAGCAAATCCTATCCTTTGCTTTCTGGAGGACGAGGAATTAATTTTGCCTGACTTAAGTATCCGTATTGCTCTAATCTGTTCCCTACTATGGTCAGAATCAAGAAAAAACTCCTAGAGCACAGTGAGGAGGTGCTAAAATACATGTCCAAAATACTTAACTAAAATAAGTGTCCACAGTAGTCTGTCTTTGGCTGTTAGTGGCATTTGGACAGCCAGCATCTGTCCCTATGACAGAGCTGTCAAACGAGGTGGCAGAAGTCATGCAGTTAAAGTCTCTTCAGGAATAATTTAGTCTTCATTGAGTGTCCTGACACACAATGCGGTCTAATTCAGCATCAGCTGAGTGTTGCATGCAGCCATTTGAACTGCAACAGCTGAGGAAAGGATGGCTGGGAAAATACAACTTGCTTTTGGTTAAACTTCATTATGTATTGTTTGATGAACATAATTTTGTTTACATGTGCAATTGTGCGAATATAGCTGAGCTTCAAGTGTGTCTCTAGGCCTTTGCTCTACAATTTCAGACTATGACGGGACAAATTTTCGTTTGTACTTTTGGACATACCTTCTTGACAGGTTTGGGGTTTTTTTGAGAACTAGTCTGCAAAACAGACATGTTCTTCAATACTCATATTTTAATGGAATTCTAGGGTAGGTCAAGTGAGAAGCAATACGTGTGTGAGGTGGAGAATTCACAGTACTCTGAGCTTCCTCCCTAGCAAAAAATGGCTTAATTACACATAAAATTAGAGTGGATTGGGCTACCTGTGTACTAGGTAAAGAATCCACCTCAGCCCTGCTGTTTTTTTTCTTTAAAAATGATGTGTTTTGGGAAACGGACCGTTTCTGAATCCACATTCTTGACAACATGCGATAAGACAAATTGTCATTTGTGGAAGTTGCCCTAATGCCCCAAAAGAAAAATATATTTGCTCTTAACAGTTTTAGAGGGCAAGATGCAAGTGGTATTCCCTTTTGGGATCTGGAAATAAAAACAAGATACATACTTTTTTTTTCAGGTTTGTTTCAATACAGTTATCAAGGGAAGAGATAATGTCTAATGAGTATTTAAGGAATTAAAAGTAAGGTACAAGACAGCCAGAAATAATGGGCAATGAGCTGAAATTGGTATCTCTATTGCACAAGGTTAAATTATGTTGTTAGAATTACCCTTCATGTCTTAATCTATGAACCAATGTGCCATCAGAATGAATCAATTTTGTATTTGGAAAATTAATGTCAATTTTTTTAAAGATGTTTTGAGGCATAAAATAATCAAATCCAAGGGATTTTTTTTTTTAACTGAGTAAAATTTGACAGAATTTTGAGGTTTTGTTTATAATGGGTTGTTATTAATGGTCATGTTAATCATTGATGGTTTTCCTGGAATTCTGCTGCATTGGATTTTTTTTATTTAACTACATTATAATAAGTGTGTTAGTTGCTGTGGTTGTAGCTGAAATCAATGTATTAATTTGACTTTCGTTTCTTAATTTTGTGCTTTATCCTCTAGCTACAGAAGAACCATTAGTAAATGTAGAGAACTTGAAAGCTGTGACCATAGATATATTTAACTTTTGGAGGTCTTTTGCTTTCAAAATTACTTTGATTTTCATCCTGAACTTCATTTTTTATTTATTTATTTTTTTTATTGGTTTGGTTGAAAGGTTTGTCCAGAGGGGTCGCATTTATCCGGTTTGACAAAAGGTCAGAAGCAGAAGAGGCAATTACAAATTTCAATGGTCACAAACCCCCAGGTTCCTCCGAACCCATTACAGTGAAGTTTGCAGCCAATCCTAACCAGAACAAAAATGTGGCACTGTTATCGCAGCTGTGTCATTCACCAGCTAGACGATTTGGAGGGCCAGTTCATCACCAGGCGCAAAGATTCAGGTAGGTTAGGAAGAATAATCCGTTTAAGGCTGTCCTGCTATTCCCATGTCCGTGTGGGAAACTGTACTGTTGTAGCTGTTGTAGTAATATCTTCGTTGCAGCATGTGTGAATGAATACATAGTGCACTGTATGTGCTACAGTGTTATGTAAATAAATTGTTGAATTAAAGACAATTAAAGCAAAAATTTATTTGTAAAATTTATATTGAAGTTAATCACCTAAAGGTACGCTACAGTCTCTATTTCTACAACTCAGTATGTTGTGAGATGACAGGAGCAGATTCCAGATGGGTATTCATAGATGCCTGTCTCAACAGATCCCCATTCTGTAGTCCATATATATAACTGAATGCAGATACTATTTGGCAACTTTAATTAAAATTCTGACCTATTGGTTCCAGCAGGCGGGTGTCCTAGTAAATTAGGAAAGCCGTATGTCTGATTAAGAGTTTTTATGGGATTTCTGTCTTCATCTTCAATTGTACAATGCTATTTTCTGGACTCCTCTAAGTTCAGGAAGTTTATGGGTAACTAATGTTTTTTTTGCCTCCAGAGCTGTGAAATACATTGTGTGTCTTGCCTTTGAGAGTGGCTTTAGTTGCTCAGGGATGTTGAAGCTGGTTGAACGGTGCCTCTGAATGGTGCAGTGTGTTTAGTGTCCTGCAAATAGCAATTAGCTTTGCTAGGAGAGGTACCTAAGAGCTTCTGAGGGTAGTGAGACCCACTTGAGAGTTGACACTTATTTTGTGCTCCTCCTGAAGCACTTGGTGAGCTCAGCATAACCTGCCTAAACACCTAAGGTGGATGTTCAATCTCTTCAGTGCCACTGTTTTAGTATTGCTATGACTACACCATACTGCTTTGCTTTAGCATTTTAACAACAGATAGGTGTAACATCTCTTCATTTGTTTTACAGTAAGCATAAGGGGGAAAAAAAAAAGACTTTAGAAGTGATGAGACACTGGAACATGTTGCCAGGAGAGGTTATGGAGTCTCCATCCTTGGACATAACCCGGCTGGACACATTTCTGAGCAAGCTGATGTAGCTGAATGTGCTCTGAGCTTTAGGTGATCTCCTCTGCTCCCTGCCATCCTCAGCTACTCGGTGTCTCCTGCTTTTCCAGCTGTATTTAATGCAGCTCCTCAAACAAGATCTTGTTTCCTTGAAGCACTCGCCCAAATCTCTGTGCCCAATCTAAGGCACGTTAAGAAATGATCAGTTAGGGGAACTACTAAAATTTCATACCTTAATCACTTTATTGTCAGCTAGAGGTTTTTTCAATGTGTCCCAGTGCTAACAAATTATTGAGACTCATGTCTCCCTTTTAATTCCTAATGTAACTGGATGTTGTCATTATCATTAAAATGGGCTTCCTAATTTTTAGCAGAATTAGGATTCATTTTAATAAGCAGTACAAATAGTGTTCACATCCACACTTAAGATACCAAATAACTTTAATTCTGACCTCTAATGATTGCTCAAAGTGGAAATATGATTAATATTTCTAGACAGAATAAGCTGCATTTTAGTGACATATGGGTTCATAGTTCTTCCCTTGTACCTCTGAGAGCAGGGTTAAGGTTATTTGTGTGCTTCTGGTGCATTTTTGTGGACATGAGTTTTCATAAGTAAGAATAGTAGAACCTATGTCTTTTTTGTGCTCTGTTCTCTTTTGTTTAGTAATGACTCCTGCTCAGAGTGTCTGATTCAGTGCTCATTTGCCAACACTTTCTGGCCAACTTCTCTTAAGAAGAGCAGAGTTGGGTGGGTGGTTTTGTTTCGGGGTTTCTTTTTTTGCTAGTGGAGAAGGAGCTGAAGATTTGGGGGTACTAGAGACTGATAGAGGTAGCAGCATTCAGCGTTACACCATGCTGTGGTGATTGTATTATGGAGATAGGGTTGGGCTGTAGCAATTGACCTGAAGATAAAATTAGGCCATCCCGCTTGGTGTCTGGTCAGGTTTGCAGTGATTTTAACCCATTTCAGGCCTTCTCCACACACTCATGCATGCACACACACATGTATGCACGTTAGTTAGCATTTACATTGTGGTAAAGCTCGAGAACCTTGGCTTGGACCAGGTGTTATTTGTTCTGCATAGTGAACAAACCATAACGAAAGGATACGCTGCTTCCAGAGAGCTCCCAGTCTACTCAAATCACAGCTGTGGTCAGTGCAACGCAGAGGTTGAACTGCTTAAATTTTGATTTTGATTACTGTCCATCTAGCTCCATCATCTCCCTATAAGTCCAGGATTAAGCATTTAGCATCTCTAATTTGTAACTACTAATTTCCCACAGTTATGACTCAAACCCTTTGTTCAATATTCCTTCAATCCTCTCCTGTTTCCATGTTATTTATGGGTTATGCTTCACATGGAGACTAGCTCCTGCTGTCCTGTCCCACTGAAACGCGGAGCTGACCTGCTCATTCTCAGATGTGGCCTGAAAACTTCCCTGACCACTGAGAGCCAGCCAGTATTTACGTGTAAAAAGGTAGAGTCAGGTTAATTGACCAGTGTCAGGTTAATTGAACTCCTTTTCTTTGTGGAGTCATTTGAAAAGAAAAAAGATGCCAAGCTCATGCGAAATGCCAACATAGATTAATATTAAATGTAGCGTTAGTGCTTATTAGCATTGCATAAGCTGTGGGATTGCTCCCACCTGTGATGCTTTATATAGTATGGAGATTTCTGAGGGGAAAAAAAAAAAAAAGAACTTGCAGGTCTTCCAAAGACCTAAATTGTTTTAGGAATGTTGCTTCTGAAATGATGTGCTCTGCTGTGTTAAAATAATCCCCAAATCTATTAAATGAAGCAATAATAGTCTGTCTGTAATGGGTAGTGCAAAAGGCGTTCATATAAATGAAAAGTTTAAAATAATTGACTGTATTGTCAGCGTCACAAGATGCTGGAGCTTTCAGACTAGTGTGACTTCAAAGAACCACCCACAAATAACATCATCTACAGATGCTTAGTGAGGATTGAAAAAGCAGGGGAGAGGGAAGCGGTAAAATATAATCACACCAAAAATGAGGGCACCAGCAATGAGTGTGATGAGGCTGAGATTATCCCAATCACAATATTCATGGCATGTTTTCTTTTTTTTTTTTTTTCCTTTATTCTCTCTGAAGTATCTTGTGTACGTGTAGATTTTAGTGCTGTTGGCCCAAGTCAAACAAATCTTTTAACCATCCTATAGAAGCGCAGCTTTACAAAGGCCATCCTATATTTGCCTATTCAGAATAAATAACAATCTCTTGCTGGCAGGCAGGGGGGTCCTGTGCAGGCTGCTGCTCCAAGCTACCTGGGAGACCTTCTGTCCCTCCACGTGGGAAGCTGGCAGCACCGGATAAGCATAGAGGATACGGATCAGATCCGCATAGGAGGTTGCTGTGCTTGTCCTAGGGGTGTTCTTGCTCATGCTGAGCACGTGTGCTAGAGGAATTGCATAAGGCAGCTATGGGGAACTCGGTGTATATGTGTCTTAATGTTGTTGAGCTTATTTTTCTATAGCAGTTCCTGTTTGCTTCTGTATATTTCACCTTTTTTCAAAATATTTTTTTCTAGCCTTTCTAGCAGGGTCTTTGTGCTGTGGTTTTTTGTCAGTCTTTTTCCCTGTTGGTTTGTGCAGAATATTAGTCAGTGTCGTGGTATAATTCTAAGCATGTTTAATCTGAGGAGCTCTGACATAGATGGGTAAGAGACAGAACAGGTGGCATGTTTTTTTATTTTTTTTTTTAGAGAGGGCAAGCTGTTTGGAAATTTCTGTTTCCAGAGAACACAGTATTTGCTTTAAAACATTTGGCCTCCCGTAGGATTTCTAAATGTGTTGCCCTTTGCTTTCAATCTCTCCAAGAGTAGAAGTCAGCCCTTGATAGCTGGGCTGGTGGGTAGAGCCTGAGGCTTTAATGCGAGCAGGTTCAGCACCACACTGACTGCTGGAACCAACCTCCTGCAATGCCGAGCTTAGCGACTGCTGCCCGTGTGTGCGAGCAGGAGCCAGGACTGGTGATCTGTTGAGATGAGCTCCAACAAACGGGTCTTATTAGATCGTTACTCAGAGAGGAGGAAATCAAAAAGCTGGCGTCTGTCAGAAAAAAGCGAGCCCAAGAACGTCCCATCTAAATGCAAAATGAATAATAAATAAGACATCGCGTAATCATCAGATCACATGGGTCAGTGCGTTTCATTGCCATTCCGATACTCTCCACCGCTTTATCAGCTTTGCTTTAGGAAAGGCTTCCCGAACTTGGGATGCCCGGGGCTGCCTGGCAGCAGCAGTGGGTCCGGCAGTGTGAGCTCAGGCGCCCGCGCTCGCCCCAGTGCCACGGAGGGGCCGGTGCCTGCGCCACCAGCTGCCCCTGCCCCAGGTCCAGGAGGGTTTCTCAGCTCCGGGATCCAGGGAATTGAGCTCTCCTGGAGCCCCGGAGAGCCGGGCATGGGGGGCACGAGGGCCGCGGGGGTCTCTGCTGTGAGTGCATTTACCCGAGTGCCCTCCGCGTGCGCGGGCCCTGCCGCAGCCCCGCTCCTTCCCTCCCGCTCCTTCCCTCTCCGCACCCAGAGCAGCTCCCGGCTTCAGGCAGGGCAGGAAAAAGGCGCAGTGGGAAGAGGTTGGTGCTTAACACAGTGCTCACTGCCTGGACATCCATTCCCTGTTTGCTCCAGGTCAGCAGAGAATCAGGATCTGCCATCGCCGTTTCTTGGCACAGAGCAGCACATGTCCCGTTTTAAGTGGTTTCCATATCCCCAGTGGTACACCACAGTTTGGGAACCCCTGGTATAGTGTAATTATATTTCTACAATCATGCAACCTCCCATTTTTTTAAATAATACATAAGTGCAGAGGATCAAATCGAATTTATTTTAGCTTTCCCATTTCCTGATCTCTAAGTGCTCAGCTTGTGCCACCATAAATATTGCATTAAAATATTCTAAAGCGTTGAATTTCCGGAACAGAGCCCAGAAATAAAAGAGTAAAAAGGAACTAGAAATGTAGGTTACTGAGGGGGAAACAAAAACAAATAATACAAAGCCATACATAAAAAGAACTTTGGGATTTGTTATTCAGAAATATTCCTGGGGTGTTGCTGGCAGCTGACTGGGAAGAATGAGTAGGTGATTTAAAAATAAATTAAAAAAAAAGCCTAGTTCAGTAAAGTCAGATCCTTTATCCTAATATAAAGCTGGTCTAAGAAGGATAAAAAGAACACTGCATGTCTTATAATTTAAAGACTTACTTAAATGCATTTTGCAATTTTTATATTTGAAGGTTACTGTGGTTAGAATATCCACATAAGGGGTATTTTAGGTCAAATAAGCCAAAATTTAAAGTTTGTAGGTAGAGGTATGGGAAATCTCAGCCCTGGAGTTTTTACTGAGGAAGTGCTAGTGTTTGTGGAGCTCCCTAATAACAGGAGGGTACCGGGGGTGTTCACCTGCACCCGCTGCCCTATGGTAGAGAAAGGGGTCCCACCCCCCAAAAAAAGGGAAAAAAAAATGGGGGGGGGGAAAAAAAGGGAAAAAACAAACAAAAGAACTTTGGCTTGAGGCCTTAGTGCAGGTTGAGGAGGATATTGGATGGGAACCCCTGGGAGCAGCAAGTGGGAGGTGCTGGAGGTTGGACCAGCTCAGGGCTCTGCTGCCTGTTCCTCTGCACTCGAGCGGCTCCGTGTTGGGGCCAGGGAGCTCTTAGCAGCGTAGCCCAATCTCACACATCGGGCCGGGTCCCGTGTCGTGGTGGTTACATAATGTTGCCTTGCAAATGTTCTGTTGCCTGCCTATTTCTAATTAAAGTTCCCTATTGATAAATAAAAGTACTTGGAATATTTAACCTATTTTTTTTTCCTGGCAGCTGTCAATTTGATTGTCAATTTGAATGGGGAAACGTTTCTTTCTGGCGGTTTTGATGTCCATGTAGAAAATATTCATTCTCAGTTGCTTCCCATTCAAGTGATTTTGTTTAACTGAATTGAACTTTTACATGAAATATTGTGCTTTTTATTTGCTAGGTTCTCTCCTATGGGTGTAGATCACATGAGTGGGCTTTCTGGTGTAAATGTTCCAGGAAACGCATCTTCTGGCTGGTGTATCTTCATCTACAACCTTGGTCAAGATGCTGATGAGGGAATCCTCTGGCAGATGTTTGGCCCCTTTGGTGCGGTTACCAATGTGAAAGTTATTCGAGATTTCAACACCAACAAGTGCAAAGGTTTTGGTTTTGTGACCATGACAAACTATGAAGAAGCTGCAATGGCCATAGCAAGTCTTAATGGCTACCGCCTGGGGGACAAAATCTTACAGGTTTCCTTCAAAACCAACAAGTCCCACAAATAACTTGCTCGTGCTTTTTGTATGGAATAGATAATTGAGTGACAGAAGTTGAAACATTTTTGTTAGTGTAAAACTCATTTTGCGCCAATTTTCACAAGTGTTTGTCTTAGTCTAAATGAGAAGTGAAAAAGGTTTTATATTCTGGGATGCAACTGACATGTTCAAATGTTTGAAATCCCACAATGTTAGACCAATTTTAAGTTCCTTTAAGTTATTTCATTTAAAACATATTAAAAATCCCCTGAAATCTTACGTAGATTGCATTAACTAGACCCTCTGGATGGTGGTAAAATTGAAGCATGCTTTCACTTATGAGACTAACATTTGTTCCATTGAATGTTGTCTGCAAAAACTGGAATTTTTTTAAAAAAACTTATCAGGCTGAATCCATTAGTTTTCTTGTTTTTTTTTTTTTTTTTATGTTGTTGTTTTTGCTCCATGTTCCCTTGATCTTCTCCTCTCCCCCAGACTCAGTAGTATGGAAGAAAAGTTGAGAAATACTAATGTTTTGGTTGACAGTAAAATGCTTTATCAATTAATATTCATTGCTACATATAGTTGAGGATTAGGCTTTATAAAGTCAAGGTCTTGTAAGTAGTAGCATGCCAGCATAACTTTTAACACCATTGATGAGGTAAGTTGCACACTGAACAGTGGCCAAGTTGTCAAATTCAAAGGTTTTAGAAATAAGACTTTTAAAGCCCACTTTGTAATAGGGATGGACCAAAGAGTTTCAAAGAAACTCCGGGAAGATTTCAGAGTCAAAATGAAACTCCAAAAAAGTGTGAATATATGTTGCTACTTTATCAAACTGAATCTCTTCTGTCCAAATATGTAATGCATGGTGCACTACTTACTGGCACATTATAATGCAGCAAGATACTTACTCATTCTCAAAGATCATTATAGTTTGAATTCCTTTGGTAGTTCTATTTTGTAAAGAAAAAAAACAGTTATAAACATTTGAGCATTGTATTTCTCGCATCCCTTCTAATGAGTGCTAGATTTTTCTATTTTAATAGGATTTTGTTTTGACGACTAGCTTATTGAACACTCAGCAGAAAAGTACTTACTTCTTGCAAGTTAGATATTAACAAAAAAAAAACTTTGATTTGTAGATTTAAAGATTAATCCCCCAAGTTTTCTGCAGACTGCCTTGAAACTTTGAGTTGTTCTGTTTCTGTTAATTTTCTTTTGCTTTTTTGTGTTTTTTGTTTGTTTTTACTTTTGCATTTAAGAACATTAAATTTGATTTTGTTTTGCTCAAATTTTGTTTTGTTTTTTATTTTCTGTTATTTTTTTGCTAAGTATTGCACAAAGTGTCCAGCTTTCCATGAGTGTTGTTTTAAAGAACCATAGGTCCTCTTTAAGAGTTCTAAGTTACTGCTTTGACAGATGAATAGAAGAAAAAGGTTTGTGAAACGAGGGGTCTACCACAAATCTGTCGCACAGAAACCAAGTGCCACAGACCGATTCAACCCTACAAGTATCCCTAGGTAGGAAGCCTGGAAAGGATTACGTGGAGGTGAAGGCTGTGCAAGGATGCCCTGCTTGACCGGAGCCTTGGCCTGGCCAACTTTGATGTCTCTAATTTACGCCCAGTCTCCAGAAATCAGAGCACATGCACGAACGGGGTCGGTAACTGCAGTGTTTCATTTTCGAGTGAACCTCTGCTAGTCCCAAAGAGCCAGGGAGCCCCTAAGTCTCAATTTCCTATTTCCAGAGGCTTTTCCGCACGGAGCGTTTGCATTCCCTCCATCCCTAGGTGACCTTGTGTCACCATCGTTTCACCTCTTTCTGCAATAGAGGAGAATTCCTATGTCCTGTCCCATTGCTGCTTCCTTAAACTCAACGCTTGACCATTCCACTGGAATAAACTTGCAGAAAATTTCCATTTCCCATAACTGTATCTCTTGCTTTGTATCACAAGAGCAGCATTTATCTGCCCCTGAAATCAAGAAAAAAATCAGGTACATTTTAATGGTACCTTTGTTCCTAAACAATTTACCCATCCTGCTAAGAAAGACCAACAGGTTGAGGGTGGAAAGTGAGCTCTAATCAGAAATTCCATCAGTGCTTTCTCTGCTTGAAAGACATGAATCATCTCTATGTCCTTAGCAAGCCATGCCACTTTGAAGCTCTACCTTCAACTTAGGTCTTTCCAAAGTTATTTTGGCCTCTCTAAGCCCCCTGAGGACTGAGAAAAGCAGAATAATTCACTGATTTCATCCTTTTAATTTCACAGTGAAATACATTCCTTCCAGGTGCTACTTCTATCTTAGTCTTTGCTTATACCCTCGAGCTTTTTCTCATACAAAAGGCCTCTTTCAAACCATTTGGCTCTTGCTTTTTTCCTTAGACATAGGAATGCTCGAAAGTCTTGACAGCTCCATGAGGACATGGACCAGATTTTAAAGGACTCGATTTGATGGTCTGTTCTGGAGATGCTCTACAGAGAGCAGCTCTTGCAAAAATGTTTTAGGGTCCTTTTGAATAATTTGGCAGTGTGGCAGGACAGGAGTTTGGGGTGAAAATGCATAGCTGTGGCCAAGCTATGTTTTGAGCTGCCAAAGAAAATTATGGTGTCTCAGAGGACTGTGCTTTTACCCCCTGTCTGAGTGTCTGAAGGGGTTGATGTGATCTTCATGGACCTGCAATACGAGGACACCAGTTCCTTGTGTGCTCCTTGATCAGGCTGAGTATGGTGGTAAAATGAGTTTTTGTGTATCTGAAAGGGGATTTTTTTTCATTTTCCTGCTTATGGTCAAGATCACCTGAACACGAAAGGCCTGTTGAGATCCGAAGGGGAGCATCGGTGATGCTCCCATCCCGCTCCAGCCGGGAGGTCTCTTTTCCTGGGCACCAGTTCATTTTGTGTTCCAAATTCCATCCTTCCCACGCTGCTCGTAGCCGAAAGAGCTCAATTTCAGTGTGCGTGCTCATCACTTCTGCCAAAACTTGCCTTTGCTCTCCAAACTCTTATATTTGCTACACTTGAGTGCTGATTTTTCCCTCTGCTGGAAGCGAGCCTGGATTGTAAAGTTCTCCCAGCTCTGTCACCTTTGAGCCTTGGCATTTGCAGCAGGATCAAGGCTTGTACATCTGAACCTGGACAACCTGTCAGGACTTTGGTACAAGCACAATTATCTCTTTGGAGACCTCTGGAAACTTTACCAGCTGTTGAATGACTGGTATTGTTTTAATTATCGCTTTGTTACCTTTAATTTTAGAGTCCCTTTCTTCTACCTTGTCCCGTATCCACTTCTAAAGTTCTACTCTGTGTCTCTGTTTTTCCAGCTATACTTGCTGTACTCCAAGAAGGCTCTTACCAGAGTGTGGCTGTTAAACCTGGGTTTTATGGTACTGCTTCCAAGTGCTCCATGAACCGTTTTCCCATTTTCATGTTTTTTTTGCAAAGCTGTGGAGTTTCACTCTAAAATGAGACAATGTGCAGTTAAGAGCAAAAGTGGCCTAACCATGGTTGAAGACCCCTCCTCCAAACTTCTCTGCAGGTGCTCTGGGCTTTATTTCTATTGTACAAAATTAAAAGGGAGTTTTATATGGTAAAAAATCGAGTGTTGTCAAAATGCAAATTCCTTGAAGGCTTTATTCAGAATTGGCCTTTTCCAGTCGCAGCTTTTTCCTATGAACGGAGCTGACCCCTGTTCAGAAAGCTCTCCACAAACCTCCTCACCATTTAAGCCTCCTGTTACCCACCTGCACATAGGGACATTTCACAAAGACTAGAGAAACTAGAGAAAAATCCTCCTCTTGCTTTATGCTTTATCCAAGCTGACAAACGCAATTCCCTCACTCGAGGAGCCAGCAACATGGGAAAAGCCGACTCAAAGCAGCCTAGTGTTTTTAGTTCTCTTAATTCGCGTTTAGATGGTGCCTCCACACTAAAGCGTTGAATTTATTTTGTTCTTCGAGCTACTTTGCCATGAAATTTGATGGACTTAGAGCCGGGGCTCTCCCCTCGTGCGCGGAGGGAGAGGCCCGGAGCTCCCGCAGTTGTTCTGTGTCCTGCTGTGCTTGTGACAACCCATCGCTGCGGCTCTAGGGTTGGGACCGTGAAGGGTTTGAGCCACCTTTTAGGGTGGAAGGAGACGGCAGAGAAGGCTCCGTGCTGAGCAGTGTCCCCATAGCAATGTACGTCCACACGTTCCTTTCCTTCCCTTTGGTTGGTCATGTTTTTTCAGTACATCTGTATCATGATAGCATGAAAACCACTGAAAACTCAGAGGTATCCAAGTCACAAAAAATATATATATATAAAAATTTCTCACTGCAGCAAATAGCAGTCGGTCAGTTTATGGTCGTTTATGTCATTGCAGATGACCAAAGAATTTCAGTGTCTTTTGCTCCGAAAAACTCGGAGAGACCATCTATATTTCTAGGGGTATTGAACATTGCAGTAATGTTGTTTATACAAAGCACTTAAAAAAAAAAATGAAATAAATTGGCATAGCCGCATCTATAGAAAGCACATGCAGCAGTTTAAAATGACTAAAAAATTGGAAAGGTTGTTCAATATTAATGTTAAGCTTTGCAAATGAAGAGTCCTGAGGTCTTTCAACAATTATCGTAATTTTGTGTTGGTTCTGGAGAAGGACAGTGTTTCAGATATTTTGGGAGAGATTTTTTTTCAGTATTCTAAACTGGAATAACTAGAAGTTACTTTTTGGATAGTTTATAGTCACATACGTGCTTAAAAAAAGAGAAACTTTTGAGAATATCCCCAAATATACTTTTCTAACAAAAATAAACAGGTCTAACACTAAAATCAGCTGTTTATTGAAATTAGCTCTTCTCATATTCACCTGAAAAATACTAGGATTTGTGGGAACTTTTTTATTATTATTATTTTTAAACATAGAGCTTGTTGTGAAGCTGCTGGTGGTGATCTCATGGTTTAATCACAAAAGTCCAGTCCGGAGCTGTTTGTCCTCCTGCTACCTCTATGATCAGGTTACCTTGCTTTGACTTCCAGCCTGGGGAAGGGTGTTCTTTGCAACACTGTCCATGAAGCACCTTATTGTAACATTTCTACTTTTAGGCTCCTAAGAATAGCTTTAGAGCAAAGGGACCAAATTCACCGTTAGTGTAAGTAAACTCAGCTCCCTTTTAGCACCCTTGTCGGAGCTGCATTTATATATATATATATATTCCCCCTCTAGAAATGAATTCGTCACCCTAAATACTTTAATTTCTGTATTTGGGAGCAGAAGCATCTTCTTCTGTGCAAGTTCCTCCAACATAGCTCTGCACTTGTCAATGTTGGATTCTCCACACCATAGCACTGATGTATAAATACATTGATCGAAAGCCTAGGCTTTATTTGATATGCTTATTACACCCTCCTGGATTTCTGCTTCATAATAATAACAAAAAAAGTGGATTTCATAAAGAAGGGACACTGTTGCCTCGCTCTTGCAAGTAAGAGTTGGTAGCATGGAATACACATCTCCATGGCACATCCAGCGCAGAACTCCAAATTGCCGTTCATTTCGTGTATACTCTTAGTTTAATCAGGTACAGCTTAATTTTTCTGTATGCTTTTTTTGTAGTAATCCTAAGTAGTAGAGCTAAACAAACCCGTAGGCGTTCCTTTCTCTTTCTGCATGATTTAAAGAAAAAAACAAAGTTAAAGCCTTTATAATTGCTAAAGCAAAATAAAACACCCAGTGCAGTGAGTGGCTTTGACTTTAAAACCTGTTATTGTTTTCATCAGTCTTGCTGCAGTTATTTGTTATATATCACACTTGGTAAAAGACTGACAAAGTTTTAACTAGAGATATTTTTCTGTTGAGTGGAATTTTCAGCACTATATTCTTTTGTTGATAATGATGGAAATTCAGTAAAAATAGAATTTGCCACCAGAAACCTTGAAAACTTTGCTACTGTGTTCACATTTTAGAACCTTTATTCTCATAGTAATTACTGTTCGTTACTTTTAAACATTTTAAACGACTTTTCAGTGATACAGCTGAACTTTTTCACTTGGTCATTGAGAAGAAAATTACTTGAGATATTTGCAACATAAGTTGGGATAAACCTTTATTTGACCAGTAGCTTTGAATAATACTGTACTTTTAGTCTTTTTATTGATTTCATTTCCCTTAACTTATGTAATCTTTTGTTTATAAATTAATCTGTTTGTGGGACGGAAGGTTTTATCAATTGTTTTCCATACTGTACAGTATATGGTTAAACGTTTTGTATATTTAGTGTGTTTTTAAGTTATTGATTTGTTTTATATC